CACGCGCCCACAGGCACGCGCCCACACACACACACGCGCCCACAGGCACGCGCCCACACACACACACGCGCCCACACGCACGCGCCCACACACACACACGCGCCCACAGGCACGCGCCCACACACACACACACGCGCCCACAGGCACGCGCCCCCACACACACACACGCGCCCACAGGCACGCGCCCACACACACACACACGCGCCCACAGGCACGCGCCCACACACACACGCTCACAGGCACGCGCCCACACACACACGCTCACAGGCACGCGCCCACACACACAGACAGGCTCACAGGCACGCGCCCACACACACACACGCTCACAGGCACACACACACAGGCACACAGGCACCCGCCCACACACACAGACAGGCTCACAGAGACACGCCCACACGCTCACAGAGACACGCTCACACAGGCTCACAGGCACGCGTATGGCGTTAAATTAGTGCCAAGACTCGCGCGCATAAAAACCACGTGCGCGTATGCGCTTTCTACACGCTCACCTCTGCACAGCACTCGCTCGCTCAACAGGATGAATTTTGACACTTTGGAGGCGGGAACAGTGGCTAATATCTTTGGTTTTTAAAATATTGACTACGATTGGCCATTTGCTTTGGTAGAAGATGGAGATAACTTGTCACTGACCGCGGTTAAGTTTGAATATTCGGTATTCAATTTTATGGCTTTAACTTTTAACGGAAGGTGGGGCATTTTTAATGACAGAATTGTACATAGACAACGCTGCACACCGATTATTTTTGCGCTTCGAACCATTTCGTGATTTGTGCAAAATCGTGTTAATAGCTAATATCATATGTTCTTTCAGCTGTAATGACATGGTGGTTTAGCATTTTGGGCTCATGGCGACTGTTGCACACCCCCTTGTTTCCCAGATTACTTTACGTACAAATTTGAATTAATTTCTTAATGTACGAATGTATCCGTATTATGTGCAATGGGACAATACATGAATGGGTTAGTAACTTTAAAACTAGACAGGCACATCTAGTGTGCTTTGATCAATGGACTACAGGGAACAATGCACCCCCTTTGGATTTTCAGAATTACTTTCTAACAGTTATTAACACATTGTATGCATATTACATGCCATTGCTCCATTTCATACATATTGACAGTTAATTGATAACACAAATTAATCCATAAATAAGTTGTAAAGTGTGATTTAGGCAATGCACCGTGGGACAAAGCAAATGTACCGCAGTTGAATTGTTTGATTACGTGTTTCGTCACATTTAAAGTGATCTTGAAAATCCAAGGGGTGTGCGTAGAGAGGATGGGTTTTCAGCTCGCGGGCGCAGACGTGCGTGTGGTTCGACTTTTGGCACTAATTTAATGCCGAACGAGCGAGCGAGTGCTGTGCAAGCGCGAAGAGAGCACATACGTGTGCGTGGTTTTTATGTGTGTGTTTTGCCACTAATTTAACGCCACGCACGCGCCCACACACGCACGCGCCCCCACACGCACGCGCCCACGCCCACACACGCACGCGCCCACACACGCACGCTCACAGGCACGTGCCCGCCCACACACACACACGCTTACAGGCACGCGCCCGCCCACACACACACACACACACACACACACACACACACACACACACTGACATGCTCACAGCCACGCACATATCAGCACACTCTTCCTAACATTAGTCTCCTCGGCCCCCGTCCAACAGGCAAACGGATGTAGAAATCAGATCCATGATTCAGGTGCAGGGACACGCTGAGAATTAACAGGAAGCTCTCTCCCCAGAACAAACGCTTGTGTCGTGGGCAGCGCCGGTGATATCAGAAGCCCAGAGGGCAGGGAGATTCCTCTGCCTGGGGCGGCATTTAGGGTTCAACCAAAAAGGGCACAAGGTGAAGGGCGTGGGGTGACCTGGCTCAAAAAACTTAAAGCAGCATACATGTTAATCACTGGCACAGAGCATAACCGCTTAACGAGGGGAAACCCGCATTTATGACAGGGCACACTTCTCTGGGGGCCACACACAGGAACGGCCGGGACTCACCTCCAATCTTGGCGTCGTAGGCCACACCCACTCCGCAGATACCATTGTTGGCCACAGCCGCCACCTCCCCGGCACAGCGGGTCCCATGTCTGCAAACGAGAGGGGAGAGAGGGGCTTTGGGTCAGAGAGAAAGCAGATATATCTTATGCCACCTGACAGAAACAAACCTAAAAGCTGGCAGAGCGCGTGGGCTACAGGTCTAAAATATCTAGGCTATCATACAGCCTTAGTTCCTCAAACCTGCCCCACATTCTATTATTTTTAAACACTGTGGGTTTAAATAACCGAAGAAAAAGCAAGAGCAGTATTTCAGACCGACCCCTAACACGCTTCCCATTACGGCCTGGCAGAAGCCAGTGCCAGGTTTTCTGGACCTACATGGTGCAAATCGGGACAGGTAAGAAGGGACCAAGACTCCTGACACAGCCATAGAAGAAAAGTTATTCAAAGCGCTGATTGCAGAGGGAGGGCATCTAGGGAGAGCAGCTCAACATTCCAATCCGGTCGACCCAACCCGGTCCCAATACCACACTGGAGAGCCCCAAACACAGCTTTCAAAAAGGCTGGAACCTGTGCTAATGAGACGGGAGATTAGGCCGGATCAACGGGGCCCGGGGGCCCGGTTCTGTTGCCCCAGGAGTCTGAGCCTGCAGAAATCCATTCAGGGCTCTCTGCATTAGCAGCCATTTAAAAATCAGGAAATAAATCAAATCTGATTTAGTGGGGACAGAGAAGCTGGGCGCTTCCATGGAGCCCTGAGAACCAGCATGGGCCAAGCTGAGACAGACCTACTGGGAAGCTCTCAGATACTGCAGGGACACTCGTACTTAAAGGTCACGAAGGTCACTGAAATTCCATGAGCGGAAGCACTGTTGGACCTCTAAGCTAAACAGGCACCCAAATCACTGCAGAAGAACATTACCACACAGAACAATACCGTAACAAGTGGTCTATTAATGCGTTAAAAAAGCCAGAGACACAAACAGCTGGGACTTAACCTTGACACAGCGACCGCTGTAGCCAAGAAAACCCCCCGTGACAATTCGTGCATGTCGGGGGGGGGGGGGGGGCACCGCAGGAGGCGAGGCAGGGAGGATGACTCACAGGCGTACGAGGAGTCACGCTTCAGGTTCTGTCAACTCAAATGTGGATTATCACCCGACATCAAGGTTCGCTGTGGCGTGCACTCTGGGAGAGTGCGGCAGCCCCACCTCTGGGCTCCGGGGGAATCCACCTTCACATGCTGGAGAACGACGGCCCTGCAGACCTTCAGCCAGGTCCAGACATGCAACTGGAGTAGGCAATGAAAAGTAAGCTGACGCCTACATTCCAGATTCTTCTGGAGATCCCAGCCCTTCCAGGTCCACACGACCGTGTCGCACATCTCCATTCACCACCTAGGCCATTCACCTCCGAGCGAGCCGTCGGAGAAACGTCACGTCTACCTCAGCCATCTCCCCTTGATCCCGTCGGAGATGAAGGCTCCCTTCCTTTTTAATGCAATCTCTCCCTTCAGCAGCCCAGTTAGTCTGGGGTGACACCCAAACATCTTAATGTCACCGTTCTGAACAGCTAGTGTGTCATTCCAACTGGCTCCGGACTGAGGAAAGACTGCAGTATTATCCCTAAACACAAATTAACTGGGCACAGCAGGTAGCTGTAACACACAAGATTATCTAAAGCAATGTATCCCAGTCTGCTCCTTGGGGACCCATAGTCAGTCCATGTTTTCACTCCCAGACAGTCCACACAGTCTTATCGGGAGCTGGGAGGGAGCAAAAACGTGGACTGTCTGGGAGGGAGCAAAAAACGTGGACTGTCTGGGAGGGAGCAAAAAACGTGTAGCATCTGGGGGTCCCCCAGGACCAGAATGGGAAGCAAATATAAAGCAGTGGTTCTCTACCGTTTTAATCCAAGCACCCCATTTGTCCAGGAAGACATGCTTGGGGCCCCCCCCACACAAGGTATGACACCGTTTCTCATTGCAAACAATTTTTTAATGTTTACTAAACATTGTAATTTGGTTACTCTGCCAAACAATGTCATTTCTTTTGAACATCACTCAAGGTTTCAGTCCATTATGTCCACCAAATGTTCCTCACCTTTCCCCTCCATCAGCTTCCACGTGAGACGCTGCTAACTGAATGGTTTGATTTTAGCTGTGAATTCTGGGATCTCTAACATCATGACCAAAGCTCTTGCACTATTTACAACCAGGAAGGAGTACTATTGGTTTCTATTAAAAATCTTTAATAGAGCCCTAATTTTAACGCATAATAAATGCACATCGATATAAACAGTATTGTGTCATCCTATATCTCGTCTTGAAAATATATCAATAGTGATGTCATACTTTACTGTGCTTTAAAATTATCTAAAGCTACAACAAAAAACTGTCAAAAAAACAGGGAACAGTGGTATCTAACATCACTTGGAGGACATTACAGTGCATCCTAAGGAAACTCGAAACAGGACAGAGACACACAGTGACAAACAGGCGAGATAACAGAGGACAATACCAAGGTCCAGGCTGCAGAGTCACATGTCTCCTCTGGGCACAGGCTGCGCTCATCAGAAGATGAAAATCTACACGCTGTGCAGGACACGAGTGGGAAGGTCACCGGTGAGCAAGGGACAGGTGGCCACCTGCCTGCCTGCCTGCGCGTGCGTGCCTCCCGAGGGCGATGTCACCCTCAGAAACACCTCCCACTCCATGGGAAGAACAGAATCACTTCTGGCACGCCGCCTGACAGCCGAATTTCAACACTGACAGGTAGGCAAGTGAGAAACACCTCTGGGGATTCGGCTTTTGCTTTTTTTTGTTGCTTGTTTTCTTCTTTGCCGCTTTTACTTTGCAGCAGCAGTCACTGGCAGAAGCTCAGAAAATTAGCGGATTCAGCCGAGACACGGTCAGCGTGCGGCGGCAGAGCTGTGCCGCCAAGGAAGCGGCATCGTGCGGGCCAAGGTGCCAAGCTGAGGGGCACCACCACAGAGTGAGAAACTGGTCTGTGCATCATGTGACTTGGACAAGGGGGGGAAATTCTTGAATCAACGTAGGAAATCTACACTGTGGGGAAAAAAAGACCCACCTTGGACGTCACAAAGGGGGCTACACCACTGGCATCAACATCTACGTGTATGACAAAGTTCTTGAAGGAAAACGGTGTAGAAAAATTCAGATACTTTCTGAAAATTACAAACCAAATACAAAAGAAACTGAAGATAAACTTGCCAAAGAAAAGTCTGGGAATATCATACTTAAGAGTCACAGGTGTAACACTGTAGCTGCTGTTCCCTACCAGACCTGTAGGAGTAGGGCTGGATGATTTATCGATTTCAAATCGAAATCGTGATTTGAAACAACGCGATTAGCAAGTCGCAAAAATTGCGATTTAGGATATACAGTGGTACCTCAGTTCTCAAACTCATTAGAACTCTAATTTCTTAGAAGTCGAACCAACCAGTCTGAAAAATTACCTAGAACTCAATCTGAATCTCAGAAGTCAAACTGTGAACGCCGACGTAAGATAACTTGTACGCACGGGGAGTCACGCGGCACGTCTCTCAGCGGAAACAAAGGGTAACGCTTCAGTCTGAGCCTCACATTTGCTGTGTTAGCATCGTGCATGTTTACACTAGCTGAACACATATATTTAGACAATAAAAACACATTTAGACAATGACAGTAACAGTAATTATCATCATATAATAAAATACATTTAAAAATAAAGATGAATAAATAATTTTAATATTAATAAACCATCAATACGTTTAATTATAACAATATTGTTGTGCCCAGCGGGGACGGAACGGAGACAAAGGCGCAGACGTCAGGGTATCGGGGAATACGGGGTTTAATTACAGGTAAGGCAGGCAAAACGCAGACGGACAATACAATGACCGGACTGGGGAAACAAACTGAAATGCGGACTAAATACAAAGGACTAATGACAACAACCAGAAACAGCTGATCGCACGGGGATTCCACACGAGATTAACGAGGGGGCGTGGCACATGGAAGGAGTGGACGAAAATGTTACATTCGCGGTGCGGAAAAATGCTGATTCCGCCACTGAGCTAATAGTGAATTGCCTTCCTATTTCATGGTCCGAGATTGTTTCAGAAAGGTCCTATCATCAATAGAACCGGCGAGCTCCTTTTAAACACCACCTGCAATATACTTCAGCATATCATACCTTTGGTTTTTGTTAATAGGCAATAGCATTAGTATACCGCTAACCCATCAAAACAACAATGAGACAGTCAGTAATTCTTGATACACGTGACACATCACATCTTTAAATTCTCATCCTTGCATTAGAATATAGAGCAGTTAATACGGATGGTCTCATGCTGCGTCATATGTTTTAAAATTACTACACACTGAATATTGAACTGAAGCTTGACATAAAAAATTTAATCGCAAATCAAATGTAGGAGGAAACAAATACGTGGCATGAGCGACAAGTCTGTCACCTATTTCCATAAAACTCATGCAGAACCTTTTAATGCAGATCCAGGAACTGCTGTAGTAGGACTATAAAAGTTAATTAAAAATAACAAAATGCAGTAGGAACTTTTGCCAAAGCATCTTTATTCCAGGGGTTACAAAGTTAATGAGACACGCATTGGACTCATTGCTTGCTCAGGCTGGGTTAAAGGTACAAAGCAGGTGAGAAAAATCACCTTGCCCTTACACTCCCCCATTCTCATATGTAATTAAACCTCAATGGCTGAATTACTGGGAGAGGTGTGTCTGGAGGAATACCAAAAAAAAAAAGGAAAAAAAAGCTGCTTTTTTTTTTTTTTATTATAATGAATCTCTGCTTGTTTTTCAGTGGATAATCAATCTAGTGCTTTTTAAAATCTGGGACAAAGGAAGAAGGGGAGGGGGAGAAAACCCAAATCCAATTGAGAAAAGAGTTTGCTGTAATTACTCTAAGCACTGAAGCATTTTCAATGATAAGACGAGCTTTCTAACATTAAAGCACAACGACTTTGCCTGTATCTATGCTCCATGGGATACAAACACATACCTCCGGCAGGGGCAATAAGTGGCACTAGAGAGGGGACAGAGACACACACACAC